CAGATGTTGTGAAATAACGTAAAAATTAGCCAAACACTAAAAATGTGCTCTACTTTTCCCCTACATTTTACTACAGTGTTTAGTATTTTGACTATAACATTGTCATTACTCAATGAAAATCAAAAAGCTTTTTTACCAAAATGATCAGCGAAAAAAGCTCTACAAAAATAGATATACGAGAAAATTTTTAGAATATCCTTGCTATTCGTTTATGTGTAAAAATAAAAAAGCCCAGGGCTTTTTCGGCCCTCAATATATGGTCATTTACCAGTGACTGCAAATAAATAAAAAAGACTATTGATGATCAGAGAAATAAAAGACGAGCAATATTATGAGAATATTTAATCAAATGATTATTCAGCCGGTCCCAAACCTAAACGAAGAAAACCATCAGCAACGCACGTATTAATTAAGTTTGCATAAACATTTTTCACAGATCCGTTTGATTATCTCCATATACAGCTCCTGCACTTGTCTCATTTTCATCACCACCGCCACGAACAACATTTGTCGTTTCTTCGTTTCCCTTAACCTCCCCTGCCGCTGTTACAACTTCGACTGTTGTTTCTTCGCCTGCTCAAATTCATCTACCAGCTCTTTCCAATAATGAAACTGGCAGTTCCTTCTTGGGATCAATCACAGCCCGCCACTACTACAGATACAACATCATCCTCTTCTCTCCAGTCTCAATCTACGTTTTCCAACCATTAACTACGATTTCATCGACACCATCACATGTTATCGGTGAAAAACGATAGGTGACTAAGGCAATATCAAATATTCGTCAACCATATGGTCATCTACCAGTAACTGCAAATAAATAAAAAAGACTATTGATGTCAGAGATATAAAAGACGAGCAATATTATGTGAATATTTAATCAAATGATTATTCAGCCGGTCCCAAACCTAAACGAAGAAAACCATCAGCAATGCACGTATTAATTCATTGATAACACGAATAGAGACAGTTTTAGAGCCGTTTGAAAAATATACAAAAAAAGGTTTTATCCCTCACATAAACCTAGTAGATGAAGAAGACGAGTGAAGTTTAATTTATGTATTGTTTGTGTGATTTTTTGCGTGGCTGAAGCTCTAATCAAAGAGCAACCATTTGTTTAACTCTAGGGATATTTTTTGTTGTGCAACTTCTGATACCTAAAACTTGTATATTTTTAATTTCCATGTGTGTTTGTATGTGCGTCTGTCTGTTGGTTGATCGTGTGACAATCGAACATTCCCAGAAGTCCTGTTATTTAGACACAGATGTTGAAAGCAGACAAGAAGAAGACACCTACTTGAAAACGACAAGTG